CGCCAATCTCCAAAATCCAATAAGTCTATTTTCTTTTTTATAACTTTTCTTCAGATGGATATTTATTTATATTAGCTAATGTATTACCTTGACTTACGTTCTCATGTCTATCTACAAATTAGACATGTGGTCAAGAACACTTAGTACTTCTAGTGAAAATTATTCAATAACGAACAGCTAGCGGTACGCCCTGTGTGATCGAGAATATTAAGGCTTTTACCAAGAGGCAGTCCCGATCATTCTTACACAAGCTACCACTGCTAAATCCTAACTGATTTAAATTGTATTTTAGTTTATATATCATAGTTTACAACATAGAAATATCCATCGAAGTTTACAATTGTAGAGTAAATGCTATTGTGTCTCTATATGACCAATATAATTCAAATCAATAAACTTAGTATTTCAAAATATTCCAAGTGTATAGAAAATAACAATGATTTCGGACTATTTAACCATGAGGTTATATGTATCTGTTCTGACAGACACATAACCTCATGCGTTAAGTTCGAAATCATTATAGATGCGATGTGGGAGTTTTTGTGTGTGCACGTGTGTGTTTTACACGTAATAAATGTTTCTCTGAGCGTGTGTGCGCAAGCGTTTGTACGTGAGCATGTATGTGTATGAAATCATCCATGCAAGCATACAAGCATGGTTGCATGCATGCACATGTCTTCATGTTTTTATGTTAGGTGTATATGTAGTTCTGTGTGTACACATGTGTAATAAACGTGTGTAATGAGCGTGCCTTCAAGCGTGTGTGTGTAAGAGAGTGTGTGTGTGCATGTATTGTGAGCTTGTATGTGGATGAAAGCATGCTTGCTTGGAAGCATGCAAGCACGCATGTGTCTATGGTTTTATGTTAGGAGTATATTTGGGAGTGTGTGTATTGTGTACACGTGTGTAATAAACTTGCGTGTGTAATGAGCGTGTCTTCAAGCATGTGTGCGTAAGCATTTGTACGTGAGTATTATTTGTGAGCGTGTATGTGAATGAAAGCATGCATGCAAGCATACAAGCATGATTGCATGCATGCACATGTCTTCATGTTTTTATGTTAGGTGTTTATGTGGGCGTGCGTGTACACGTGTGCTATGAACGTATGTGTGTACTGAGAGTGCCTCCAAATATGTGTGCGTAGGAACGTGTGTGTGTGGGCGTGTGTGTACACGTGTGTTATGAACGTATGTGTGTAATGTGAGTGCCTCCAAACATGTGTGCGTAAGAGTGTGTGTGTGTGGGTTTGTACACGTGGGCAATGAACGTGTGTCTAAATTTGGATACATAATGATAATATCAACTACTTATATACGGCTCGTGTATTTTTTTTTGAATATACCTGCTACATTGTCACTATTAAAAAATTTGTTACAATTTGTTTCAAGTATGTTTACTATTAAAGTGTCTATTATTAAAGCATTATTGATTTGTTCCTATTCTGTCGTGGTGTTACTGAAGATGGCCTATGTTGTAATTGTATGAAATATCCCCCGGGGCATACTGGTTTTTGTGTGTAGTCGTGATGCACTGCCGGACGGAGTGGACGCTGCGGCGGCTGCTGATTAATGAATGGACTGGGGCTGATGGGAATTGTAATTCATATGTGGTTGATGATGTTGTGGCATCTGTGCCCGCTGTGGTGCATATCTAAATTTAACATCTGAGTGTTACGGCGGAGGCGTGCTCTGTTTGTCGTTGCTCACTGTACTCGTGTGTACTGCTGAGTGTATTGCTGTGTATATTGCGGAGAAATTGCCCTGTCCAAGCGTGGTCGCTTTGCTATAGGTTGATCCGTATCAATATCTACAGCAACAAAAGTATCAAAAATATCAGGAGCAACAGCAGCAGATATATCGACAGCAGGATCAACAGCAAGAGATGTATCGACAGCAGGAGCAACAGCAATAAATGTATCGACAGCAAGAGATGTATCGACAGCAGGAACAACAGCAATAAATGTATCGACAGCAGGAGCAACAGCATCAGGTGTACCGACAGCAGGAGCAACAACAGCGGGTTCAATCGCCTTAGCAGGAGCAGCAGCAGCGGCCTCACCATCTTTCAGTTGTATATGTCTTTTACAATTTTGATCTGTGCACGTCCACTGGCCACAGTTGCAGAGGAAAGAGGTTTCGCTCTAAAGTCGATTATTGTGTTGAATTTTCCACATGTCCTCATCAATCTTCATTCTTCCGATCGAGACTTGCGCTTACTGCAGCAGCCTTTATATGTCTTCCAGTGTCGTTCTTGCACAGTCATATTTACGGTACTGAAACATTTCTTCACGTATGAGAACACGGTCGGACATCCTAGGGGTCCATGAATCGACCACCGTGCTGAGAGACTGGGTTTTGTATTCATGTACGATTTAACTTACTTAGCATAGACTTCTGACTGATAGAAAAAAAATTACACTCGTCTTTCAATGCCTGGAGGAAATCCTCTTCGTCGTCTTTGATTTTTTTCTGCGTGTTCTTCAGGTATTTCTTCATCCATACCTAGACCCAGTTGCTTTCTCACCTCGTATTCTTGTTCTGCTACCCACATTCTACCCACTACGACGTCCCGAGACTCCACGAAGCCAGGCTTTTCCCAAGGTGACCAAGAATTGTTTCGTGGATCCGTGAGGGCAGCGCATTGTAGGTATGGAACATCCTTGAGATAATCCCAGTGCAGTCTCTGATTATCGTTCAAGCTTTGAGCAACCACAGTATCAAAATGACTAAGTCTTTCGTCATCGCGATCGTTAGCAAACCTCTCTAATTGCTTGTCAATGTCGTATATCTAAGAGAGCATCTTTGAAGCGGTACTTGCTTTACTATCGGTGTTTCCCATTAGTTGGAAAAGTGGCCACAAAACCCTTGAAATGGCCAGATCGGTATGAAAGTGATCGTCGTCGTTGATGGTTTTTCAATACACGCACTTCGCTTTTCCACACGTGTAGCCACACCATCAACAACTTTGCCTACATTACCTGTCATGATATCCTTATATTCTACAGAATTTACTATGGCCCGCAAACAATCCCTAAGCATCACCACGCGAAAACCTCTCGAGACTTTATAGGCAAATCTGGTATCGCATTCTCCGGCGGGTAATTCTAGCGGGCGACCTATTTGGTAGCGAAGGGGTTTAGAGCCGCTGAGGTGTATAAGTTAGCAAATGTATGTATTGGAATGATGAAACACACTATCTGACCAATATATAATAATAATAATAATATAGTCATAGATATTGGAATGTTGATTAAGACACCACTGTGTCGTTCATATCTGACCAATATAAAGTAATATATTACAATAGTTAAACAATAAAACTTATTGTATATGTGTATATATTCATACCTTCGTTAACATTCGCGGATTCTTTCTTTAGCCTTGTTATCAGAAAGCTAGATGCATTGAAATACTTACATATGTTGTTGTAAGATTCGGTCTAATAAAGGCGATACTAATGCCTTAGAATAAATAAACGCGTAGGTGAATTCTAAATATCGTGTAAATATCGATATAAATAAACGAAATGAGACGTTTAATAAAGTTAGGTTTGCCTCGTGAAAACAGCAACACTCTGAGGGATTGTGAGGCTGAGACATTGTCTATATATAATCCTCTCAGTACTGTTTCCGCCGAAGGGATTTTATTTAGTGTTTCGTTGTCGCTCTATTCTGGGGCGAATCCGAGAGACTCATAAAATCCTATCTTTAAGAAAAAAAAATTATAAAATAAAAATACTCTTGACGTCCTTAGTTATTGTCTTAACCAATAACTTGCCACTATCAAGAATTACCGACTTAGCCTTCATCAGACTGGCACGTCTGGTTGGCTTATCGGAGGGTCAACTAGGTAACGTTAATAGTCCCTAGAAACCTATTTTCGGTTGAGCCATCTCGCTACCGAAGTATTCAGATATAAATAAAATTGGAAAGTAAATAAAGCTCTAATAATAGAACTAGACCAACTTTTTTATGTTTGGTATTTTACTGAGGCCTTTTAATGGCCTCATCCAAATATCTGATATGTTAAATGGAAAAGGGTTAATTAATAAAACCATTAAAAACCATTTTAGGAAACTTAAGTTCCTCGTGCTATTAAGAGCACATTTAGGAGACTTAAGTTCCTCGTACTATTAAGAGTACATTTAGGAAACTTAAGTTCCTCGTACTATTAAGAGTACGTTTATAATTTGCGTACTGCTTAAGAGTACGTTTATAACAGAGTCTAATGTGGAGGCCCGGCTTATTACATTGTCCACATCGCTCATCCACTCCCTTATCTCCTCAACGTTTTCAGATGCATTTTTTAGTATAGAGTTGCATACATGGGCGACGTCAGAACAGTGATTGATGTGTGGGCGTCTCTGTTTCATAATTCCAGCAGTTTGGACACAGTCAGCAGCATAATCGGTGTTGTACAGAACAACATCAATACCATTCCGCAGCATTAGATTCAGAACATAGCACATCAAATCAGCTGTGCAATGTTTGCCCTTAATTTGACCGGTCGCTTTCAAGTTTCCTAGATTAAACACTCCCACAGAAATAGCCTTTGGAAGTCCAGGCGATACCAAAGAGAACCCAGTTACAGGTTCCTAATTTACTGTAGCAGAATCTAATGCCATAGATCCACCATACTTCTTCAATGCCTTTGACGCTGGAGTATGAGATTCGTTGCGTAACTTGAGCACAATACCAACAAGTTTATCACCCAGGACCGTTGCAGATGTAGGAGTACTATACCCAGGACCAGCACCTGCGGCTGCTCTCATTGCTCGCTTAAAGTGTGATGGCTTCAGAGAGTTTGCATTGATTATCCCGGCATACACAAGGTTGGCCAATGCATCATCTACTTCCTGAGTATTTCGAAACCCTCCCCCCTGGAGTCTTCATCTAAGGTTGTCTACTTTTTTATCAAACGCAATCTTTTCTGGGCCTGATCCCGCAAGACTTGAGCATTGAAATCTCTGGCAGCAATACTGGCATTGTTCATTTCGATGACCTACTTGGCATACTTCTCTCGCACATTCGCTGAAGCTACACTGGTGGTAGTATTGGCCAGATGTTCTTTCAGTTGGCGCACATTGGACTGAGAGAAGTCCTTATCGCAGTAGTTGCATTGATTGATCTCCTTACCCTTTTCCAGCCTCGTAACATAGTGGGCCTTCCTTACAGGGTCCGCTTTGCGTCCCATAGTATCAAGAACAGAATGGTGAAGCTGCAGAATGCCTCAAGTAGCTACGTATACACATACAAATATACAAAATAGAGCTTAGCCGCCCAGGCCCAGGCCTGGGGCCATTTATATTAAATAAAAAGGTGTAGCTCTGTAAAACTGTAACTTTCCATATGACCTAGAAATGTAG